GTAATGCCCTAGCATTTACTAGATATGTGTTAGTCTTGTATACATATATAAGACGTTAGACAACGTGACGGGACAACAGAGGTAATGAGTAATTGAATGTTATGCGGACAAAATATTGTTGGCCACATGAGTTATAGCGTTTGTTTTAGCGCGATTGTTGAAATTAAGTGTATCGTAAAGTTATATTCAGAAAGAATAAACCAGTTTTATTTAAGAAAGGACTTGTGTCGCTAAAGTTTCGTCGGAACGAATTTACGGAAAATTAACGAACTAACGGAGACGTAACAATATACTCAACTCGGCTATCATATCGATGGTCTAAGGTCAATGATTTGAGTTTTAAAAAATTAATTGTGGCGTTAAAAATATTTATTTTGAATAGAAGTATGTGGTTTAGACCACGTGTGTTTTCTAAAGTGGGCAAACGTGTAGAGGTTTAGAAATACACAAAGACTTTGTTTCCTCTATATTTTAACTCGAAGAATTATCAAATGACGTAGGTGACTATTGCACTCTGGGAGTTATGACCCTGTTAGGATATCTGTGAGATAACAGGCTTTCTCAGACTTATTATTTTGGATCCAAATTTCTCCTTCAAAGATCTCTCCGCTATCTTCAGAAGAAAGCTATCTGTTGGTATTTTCAAACGTACCTACTGTTTTGAACCAGACTATATGTCTTTTACATAATAACGAATTATTTTTCACTGCCACTTTATGTGCAGTCTCTTCATTAAAGAAGGAAACTCAGTTTAATTCTCCATAACATTTCTTGATGTTATTCTAGTTATTATTGCTGTTACTATTCTTACCTATAAGGTTATGAGTGTACCTAGAATACCATAGTGTTATATCCAGTATTTCAACATTTGTTTAAATATTTGTAGCATTATTTTAACGTATATACAAGCAAGACTGTATATTAGATAGATAAATAGACGCGTATATCATAAGAAAAGGAAAATTTTCATAGGCTATGCAAAAACAAATACAATACTGATATTTATATTTCGAAGGTGCAAAATCATATCTTCATTTATCAGCAATGTATTATAGCTTTAACATGCCCACCCGGTATGTCTGCGAATTTACAACGCTAGAAACCGGGTTTCGATACCTGTGGTGGGCAGAGTACAGATACTTCATTGTATAGCTTTGTGTTTAACTTCAAACAAATCTTAACATGAAATAGAAGAGGGGATGTTCAAATGAAAAAAAAAACAGTGTAAAAGATATACGAAAAGATTTGTTTTTTACAAGATTTTCGCGCAAAGCTATAGGGCTCTTTGCACATAGCCATCCTTAATTTTGAACTGATACTGTGATAGACTAGAGAGAAGGCGCCCACTGTTTGAACAAATAGTGGAATTTGATTGTCACTCTTTTAATGCAGAGTGCGTTTTGCGGCAAAGTCGCAGACCGAGTGTACTCGGATTCATAATCCAAGAAGAAGGAAAAGGAGTCCTTTAAAAATTATCAATCCCTTATTCTCCTAGGAATTCAGAGATACAAGAAATACAACAAAACTACTTATTACAACAGAAATATATACATAAGCAATTCGAATATACAAATATAACACGAGAAAATGAAAACTGAGGCACAAGTGAAATAGTTAAAATAGTGTTGCGTCATCGAGGTCACGTGACTGGTGTGGCGCCACCTATTTTCTAGAACTATCCTGTACGTGGCGAA